CCCACCACAGAGTGAGAACACACAGTGGTTTTGTCTTTCTGGTCCCAGCTTACTTCACTTCAGATGCTCCTCCACTTCCATGGCCATTTCTGAAGATTTCTATTCTTAAGAAGTACATGCTGCTGGGCACCAGTGGCTCACATTTGTAATCCTACCTGCTCGGGAGGCTGAGATCTGAGGATCATAGTTCAAATCCAGCTTGGGCAGGAGTTCATGAGACTCTTATCTCCAATTAACTACCAGAAAACCAGAAGTGGAGCTGTGGCTCAAAATGGTAGAGGATTAGCCTTGAGCAAAAGAGCTCAGAGCAGTGCCCAGGCCCTGAGTTCAAGCATAGGATGGGAGAAAAAAAAAAGCTCAGAGACAGAGCCCAATCCCTGATTTCAAGCCTCAGGACTGGCAGTACTTAGTATATTACAAGTCAGGACACAGTAAAGACCCTTACACATCATGTCCATTGCTGCACTATTCACAATGTTCAAGTTATGGAAACAGTCCAGATGCTCTACAATAGATGAGTGGATCAAGAAAATGTGATACTTATGCACAATGGAATTCTGCTCATCCATTAGAAAGAACAATATTATGTTATTTGCAGGGAAATGGAAGGACTATAGCACATCATGTTAAGTGAGGTAAGCCAGGCACGTGCACACGTGTGTGTGCATGCACACACACACACACACACACACACACACACACACACAAGCAAGTTAGTCAACACCTTTTCCCAAAAATACCACATGAAAGAACTTATCCTAATGAAATAATAGGGTCAGAGCTTCCAAATATATTTTATAAGAAGCTATTCAGGGGCTGGAAAGATAGCTCAGTGATACAGTGCTTGCCTTGCATGCATGAGGCCCTGGGTGCGATTCCTTAGCACCACATAAGCAGAAAAGCCGGACATGGTGCTATGGCTCAAGTGGTAGAGCACTAGCCTTGAGCTGAAGAGCTGAGGGACAGCGTCCAGGCCCAGAGTTCAAGCCCCATGACCAACCAAAAAAAAGGAAAAAAAAGAAGCTATTCAGCACTGCTGAAGCCATAATGAAATATAGAAACAAGTGGCTATCAGTAGGAATCTGGCTAAAATGGTAAACCTCTAATGTCTCTTTCCATAGCTGTTAGGTTTAAATAAAAGTCGTGACTTCTACGGACTAAAATAGAGCAATGGTGACAAAGTGACAGTTATAGAACTAGGGTTATGTAGGTGCAGTTGGATTTTACATGTTTGCTACCTACCCAAGAAATGACTGGAAAGACATACAGTAAAGGATTATTGTACTCTTTCCTTTTAGTTTCTCTGTACTGGAATTTTTCACAATGATCATATATATCCTTATTTCTAATAAATACATTTCTGTAGATTAAAAAATAATATTCCAGCCTGTTGAAAGCAAGACTTTAAAAAATTAGAGTTGTCTAATTTCTTCCTTCCTTCCTTCCTACCTTCCTTCCTTCCTTCTTTCCATCTTTCCTCTCTTTTTTTTTCTTTCTTTCTTTCTTGCTTGCTTGCTTTCCTTATGTATTTTTTCCTTCCTTCTTTCTTTCTTTTTTTTTTTTTTGACAATTGTGGGGCCTGAACTCTGGGCCTGGCTCTGTCCCTCAGCTCTTCAGCTCAAGGCTAGCGCTTTACCACTTGAACCACAGTGCCACTTGCAACTTTTTCTGCTTATGTGGTGCTGAGGAATCAAACCCAGGACCTCATGCATGCAAGGCAAGCACTCTACCACTGAGCCACCTTCCCAGCCCCCTTCCTTCCTTTTTTGTGCTAGTCCTGGGGCTTGAACTCAGGGCCTGGGTGCTGTCCCTGAGCATCTTTTGCTCAAGACTAGCACTCTACCACTTGAGCCACAGCTCCACTTCCAGCTTTTACAGTAGTTTATTGGAGACAAGAGTCTTGCAAACTTCCTGCCCAGGCTGACTTTGAACTGCAGTTCTTAAATCTTAGCCTCCTGAGTAGCTAGGATCACAGGTGTGAGCCTCCAGTGCCTGGCAGTTTGAACATTTTAAAAAATAGCTTAATTTTAATTCTTCAAGGAATTGCCTGCTTGTATAATTTGCACACTTTTTCAGTGGGATTTCTTAAATTTGACTTCCTTTTTTCATGGGGTGGGGATGGAGGAAGAGCTGTCTTATCTTTTGCTACTTTCCTGGGTAGGCATACTTTGACTTCAGCTTCCCTGCACCTCCATAATGGTTGTTCAGTGCTCCTTGCCATCCCATCATCATCATGACAGTCAGGGACCCATGACTGTGTGGTAAAGTTGGTAAGTGCCTGCCCGGCTTGCTGACCTGGAAGATGGTGTTGGTCACTGCTCTCCCTGCTTGGTTTGAGCTCACGTGGGACCCCATTTTGGGGAATCATTTGTGCTGTTGTTGAGGAGACAGATCTGCTGTCCATACAGGGGAGTCTACCCCAAGATAGGCTCTGGCCTTTGAGTGCTGCCCCGAGCAGCCTAATGAAGGGCCTGAACAGACCTGCTGTCCTTTTAAAGAAATAACCGTGTTTAAGGAAACAATACAAAGCAGCAGTCTTTCTCCATGCCTGACTCTCTCTAATTTGCATAAATCCCCACCTGCCTCTTCTCTCTAGATTTCTTTCTCTGTCTGCTTGTCTTTTGTGCTGGTCCAGGGGTTTGATAGCAAGGCCTGCGTGTTGTCCCTGAGCGTTTTTGCTCAAGGCTAGCACTCCAAGATATTTATAACTTTCTCTTTCTACCTGGTCCTACTTTGCTATTTGTTTCAACCTCTCTTCCTCTTTCCTTCTTTCAGTACACAGCATTAAAGGTGATTTAAAGAATATATCTGGGTAATGAATAGCAGTATCGCCTTACCTACACCTTCTATTTTTATGTAAGCCTCTTGCTTCTAGTTGGTTAGATTCAACTTAGTTCTCTCATAATCCTATAAAATAAACATTATTGCCTCCCATGTCATCACTTGAGAAACTGACATCCAGAGCATTCTAGAAATTTATTTTAGTTTATCAACAATGGAACCACAGTGGGAAATGATTTTCTAGGTCTCAAGCCTGATCACATGACCTCTCCTATCTTCCCTTCACTTAGTTGCTCTTGGAAGTTCAAACCAAGGAGTATTGTTGTCTGCAATACTATCTGCTCAGGTGGTTGAGCTCTGAGGCTCATGATTCAAAGTCAGCCTAAATAGGAAAGTCTGTGAGACACATATCTAAAATAAACTAGCAAAAAGGCAGAAGTAGAGCTGGGGCTCACATAGTAGAAAGCTAGCCTTGAGCAAAAAAAAAAAAAAAGCTCAGCAAAGCAAGATCAATAGAAAGCCTACGGATTGGAAGAAGATCTTCACTAGCCATACAACAGATAAGGGCCTCATATCTAAAATATGCTTAGAACTCAAAAAATTAAATCCTCCAACAACAAATCCTCAAAGAAACAACCACCCAATTAATAAAGACTTAAAGAGAGACTTCTCTGAAGACGAAATAAGAATGGACACTAGACATACGAAGAAAGACTCAACTGCTATAGCCATAAAAGAAATGCAAATCAAAACATTGAGATTCCACCTCACTCCATTTAGAATGGCTATAATCAAGAACTCTAATAACAACAGATGCTGGAGGGGATGTGGACAGAAGGGAACCCTACTGCATTGTTGGTGGGAGTGTAAACTTGTTCAACCACTTTGGAAAGTAGTATGGAGTTTCCTCAAAAGACTCCACATAGAGCTCCCCTATGACCCAGCAATCCCACTTTTGGGCATTTACTCAAATGATCACAAACAAGGTCACACTAAAGCTACCAGCACAACTATGTTTATCGCAGCATTATTCTCCATAGCTAAGATATATATATCTTATGTACTTATAGGTATATATACATACATACACATCTACATATCTTATGTATGTGTATATATATATGTATATATACACATATACACATACACACACACACACACACACACACACACACACACAGGAATTCTATGCCTCCATCAGGAAAAATGACATTGCCCCATTTGTTAGGAAATGGAAAGACTTGGAAAAAAATCGTATTAGTTGAAGTAAGCCAGGCCCAAAGAAACATGGGTCCTATGGTTTCCCTTATTTGCAAGAACTAGTATATGCCTAGGATAAGGAGAAGGGTAAAAAACTATGTACACATGACCATATAAGGTTTTACCTTTGTTGCTGTTGTGTTTAATGTACTTATAATGTATTGGGTGATTTTTTGTTTCATTTGTATGTTCTTCCCCCATGGTATAATCCCTGTTTTTACTGTATTTGATTCCAGCACCCTGCATCTAGTATATATATATTTTTTTCCTAATTTGAGGAAGGGAAGGGAAATAACAAAATGCTGAAATAAGGATACAGGTTGACCCATTGTAACAATGAGATGTACAAGACTTTGTTGAAAACTAAATTTACAGCTTTGGGGGTTAGGGGAGAGGGAGAAGTTAGGAAGGTGGGGAGGGAAGGGATGGTAGGGGGAAAACAAAGGAGGGGGTAACAATGCTCAATAGGAAGTGTACTCATTACCTTACTCATGTAACTGTAACCCCTTTGCACAGTATCTTTACAATAAAAAAAATATACTTAAAAAGAAAAAAGCTCAACAACAGTGTCCAGCCCCTGAGGTCAAGCCTCTGGATCAGCACACACACACACACACACACACACACACACACATATGTGTGTGTGTATGTGTGATATATATGTGTGTGTGTATCTGTATATATAGTATATCTAGTATATATGTATATATTATATATACTTGTATATATACTGTATATATACATACACATACACATATATAGAAGAAAGAGAGAAAGAGAGAGAAAGACCATTGTTCAATGTAGGGTCCAAGACCAAAAAGCCATCTGTCAAAGGAACATATTCCTTTATTAAGAATGGATCTCCAGTATGCTGATGGTCCCCATTTTCCTGTTCACAAGCTTTTCTAAGACACTCCCCTAGCCCAGTTAGTATCAAGCCAATAATATCCCTCACTTACCCAAAAGGAAGAGGAGAGCTTTCAGTATGTGTCCCCCTGAGCACATGCTGGCTCTCCGCTCACTACAGTTAGGCAGGCACCGTGAGCTGTGTGACTTGAGGCTCCTGGGACCAGAAGCCGGACCCACGTGACTGGTGAGGAAGGAAGTCACCACCACAACCAGAGGTTGCTCCATCCCTCTCAGCCTTCTCTGTGACCAGGGGTGACTTCTGTCAGGGGGTAGAAGGAAGCTGGCATATGCTGGGTACTGCAGCCCCTCCTACTGCATGGAGATTCAAGCATGGGGGGGGGGGGGTCAATCAGCTGGCTGAGGTCCTCTTGCTCTACCTGGCTAGGAAGCATGGGTAAGGAGAAACTCTTCCATGCTGACAATCCTGGTTCCTGCATGCCAAGGCCTAGTGGCCCACAGCTCCAAACCCGGAAAGCTAGAGCCTATTGCCTGGGCTTTAGAAGAAGCCTGAGCTTAGGGCTCCAGTTACTTAGCTTGGAAACCTTTGCACTGGGTTGAATCACCAACATCCCCAGCACTTGACAGCTTTTGTGATTATTGGCTTCTGGCAGCAATGGGTCCAGCCAGTAGCAGCAGGCCACACTTGCTATGTAAATCTTGAGTAGTGAGACCCTTTACTCTCCTGTGACAAGTGCTATAGCCCTCAGCCTAGCGCCTAAGGGCTTTGACAGGTAAAGTTTGGCAGCTCTCTGCAATTCTTGCACTAGCAAGGGCTCATGGTTTCTTGTGTTCATCTCTTCTCAACCCTCTGTCTCTATTGTCTCTGCTTCCAGCCACTCTCTGGAGTTCTACATGACTCTCTCGTTACTGCTGCTGCCATCACTGAGATTCCGGCCATTACCACCTTTGCACAGCTGGTCCCTCAACCCACTACTACTGTTCTGTTTCTCCTACTAGCCTCTTTCTGGGTTTCCAGCTTGGAAAAAGATCAAAAGTCAGCAAGAAAGGATCGCAAAGGGCACTCACTATAAGTTACTCCAGGCTGGTTCATAAAGAAAGTCAAACAGCCTGCTTATATAGCCAGAAAGAGGGTGTGGCAAGTTGGCTCTATCTACCAATCACAGAATGAAGGATTCTGTTTGCAACAAATGTCCCAGCCATCATGTAAATGAGAAATCATGCTTGCACCAAACAGAGCAATCTTTTAACCATGCGAATGAAGACACAATCATGGCACAATCCCTCATATAAATAAGAAATTACACTTTCATTTGCATGAGTGACTGCTGTGATTGGTGCAAGCATGATTTTTCATATACTATATACTATATATTATACTATATAAAATGTAGTATAATATAAAAGTATAGTATAAAAGATAGTATAACACATTATATACTTAACTATATTACATACACTATATTTTATAAATATATGCTACATAATTATTTTATATTATATATATATACTTCATTACATTTATACTATACAGGATATATTATATAGTATATATTACATATAAGATCTATATTATATAACATATACTATATATATTCATTATTTTATATACTACATAGCATATATCATATGTAGTATATATTATATATTATATGCATAATATAATATTCTTATATCTATTCATCTGTTGTAGGGCATCTGGGCTGTTTCCATGATTGCCTATTGTGAGCCATGCTGTGGTAAATATGGGCATACGGGAGCCTTTGCTGTAACCTGACCTGCAGATAAATGCCCAAGAGTGGTAGTGCTGGATCATAGGGTAACTCCACGTTTAGTATTTTAAAACTATCTTTTAAGAAAGGTTGGACAAATGGGATTTCATGAAATTTCAGAGCTTCTGTATGGCAAAGGACATAGCAAGATTAATAGAAAGCCCACGGACTGGGAGAAGATCTTCACTAGCCTTACAACAGATAAGGGTCTCATATCTAAAATATACCTGGAACTCAAAAAATTAAATCCCCCAACAACAAATCTTCAAAGAAACAACTGCCCCATAAATAAGTGGGCTAAAGACTTAAAGAGAAACTTCTCTGAAGAGGAAATAAGAATGGCCAATAGACACATGAAGAAATGCTCAACCTCTCTAGCCATAAAAGAAATGCAAATCAAAACAACATTGAGAATCCACCTCACCCCAGTTAGAATGGCTATAATCAAGAACTCTAATAACAACAGATGCTGGAGGGGATGTGGACAGAAGGGAACCCTACTGCATTGTTGGTGGGAATGTAAACTTGTTCAACCACTTTGGAAAGCAGTATGGAGGTTCCTCAAAAGACTCCACATAGAGCTTCCCTATGACCCAGCAATCCCACTTTTGGGCATTTACTCAAATGTTCACAAACAAGAACACACTAAAGCTACCAGCACGACTATGTTTATTGCAGCATTATTTACCATAGCTAAGCTGTGGAACCAACCCAGATGCCCCTCAGTAGATGAATGTATCAAGAAAATGTGGTATATATACACAATGGAATTTTATGCCTCCATCAGAAAGAATGACATTGCCCCATTTGTTAGGAAATGGAAAGACTTGGAAAAAATTATATTAAGTGAAGTAAGCCAGTCCCAAAGAAACTTAGGTCCCATGGTTTTCCTTATTTGCAATAACTAGTATACGTCTGAGTCAAGCAGAAAAGGTCAGATAAGTTGATGTTAGGGAAATGAACCCTAAGATATGTATTCAAATGTTTTTTTTTTTCTTTCAGGTATTGTTTTAACACATTTACAAGATTATTTCTTTGTTGCTTTGTATGTCCCTCTCCCACGGTATAACCCCTGCTTTCACTGTATTTGAGGTTGGTATAATTTGTGGAGGGGAAGGGGAAAAACAAATCGTTTAAATAGGGATATGGGTGGACCCATTGCAACAATGAGATGTACAAGTCCTTATGTGGAAAAACGAACTTTACAACTTTGGTGGTGGGGAGGAGGATTGGGTAGGGGGGGGAGGAGGATGGGAAGGGATGGGAAGGGGAAACAAAGGAGGAGGCAACCATGCTTGATAAGAAATGTACTCATTATCTTGCCCTTGTAATTGTAACCCCTCTGTACAGTATTTTCACAATTAAAAAATAGAAATAACAATTTAAAAAAATCAAATCCTGTTAGATCAGCACAATCGAAAACCAAAAGAAAAACAAAACAAAGCAAAACTATCCTTTAAAAACAAATTGTGATATAAAAATACATGTGCTTCTCCGGGACAGACAGAAAACGGCCACCGTAACACAGTGACAGATGAGGGTTCTCTGAATATGGCGGGAGCCTCTGTGACTCCTGCTGTCCTCCCCACCCATGTGCCCTCCTCCCCAGTGGTCTGTGTGAGGCAGGCCGCACTGCACGGTGGGAAGGGAATGCCAGGCTTCCGGTTGAGGAGAGGAACCCAAGTCCTTTATTTTCCCATGCAAGTTCTCAGACCCCAGCCCCAGTCAGCTCCCCACCCTGGAGGAGCTGGCATTGTTTGATGGCTATCAACAGGCTCAGCCAACTTGAGGCCCCAAGTCAAATGGAAAATAAATATCATTTATAAAGTATAAATACGCTTACTGACGCCTCTTGAGCCTCCATTCAAGGGAGCTGGCAGCAGCTAAGCTCTTTCCATGCCTAGCCTCCCTCATGGAGTCCCCCAGAGGGAGGAGCCAGTTCCCAGAGCACTTCCTGCCATGCGTGCTGGACATTCATCCAACCCCATCATGGCTTCAGGAATTAGTTCATCCTTGGGCTTCCTGAATGCTGCTCAGCCTTTGACAGAGAAAGAACAAAAACCACAGGTTGCATGAGGCAGGCTTCTTCCGGGTCTCACTGAAATACTGTCAAGAAGAGTAATTGAACCAGATGCTGGGGCCCACAGCTGTCATTCAAGCTACTGAGGGAGCTGAGACCTGAGTGTTGAAGTTCAGAGCCATCTGGGGCAGAAAATTTTGTGAGACTCTTATCTCCAATTAATTACCAAGAAAAGCTGGCAGTGGAGTGGTGGTTCAAGTAGTAGAGTGCTAGCCTTGAGCAAAAAAAGCCAAAAAGAGCCACAGGCCCTAAGTTTAAACCTCAAACTGAAGGGTTAAAGTTTTGAGGCAGTAACCACTTGTTGCTTGTTTAAACTGAACCTAAGATCAGCAAATTCTGTGTAGCAGAGCAACACGTGGTGGTAATCCAAACACCTGGTTGGTTGTGTACCTTTATAAGCCCTGCAAATCTTTAACTCGGGGCTCTCCTCCTAGGCTCCGCTGTGTTGGAGTGTAGGACGAGGCCCAAGCTGCAGCCCGTCTAAATAAAACCTTAAAACAGCTGTAAAGTCTGACTCTAGGTGATCTTGGTGGGGGTCCTGCGACCTGGGCACAACAAAACCAGCACAAAACCAAAACTGAAAACAGACAACAATGAAAAAAGAGCACCTCTAGAAACCACCAGGGATTCAACAAATCCATACATTTTGGCTTTTTACCCCACAGTGGGTTTTTGAGGGTTTTGGAGCTTGAACTCAAGGGCTGGGCATTGTCTCTTAACTTTTTCACTCAAGGTTGCTATTCTGCCTCTTGGGCCATACCTCCACTTCTGGCTTTTTGGTAGTTAATTGGAGAGAAGGATCTCATAGATTTTCCTGCATAGGCTGGTTTTGAATTATGATCCTCAGATCCCAACTCCTGAGGAGTTAAGATTACAGGTGGGAGCCACTAGCATTGGCTTGCAGTGGTCTTCAGTCTATACCTGCTAGAGGAAGAAAGTGAGCACTGCCCAAGATAACCCAATGCTTGGAGTAGTGACTTTATCATACTTTCTGGGGGTGCATCATGCCCCCAGTGTGAGCATGTGGCCTACCCCATTCTCTCGTCAAGGCTCCTGCTACAGGTTTTCTACGGCTTTCACTAGGTTGAGAGCCTATGAGGAAAGGGACAGGGCGTCTTGTCCAGCTCCTGCCATAGTACAAGCTCCCAGTCATGTTGACGTACGGAAGAAGTGGTTCATTTCCCTCCTCAGACCCAGTCACAGAGCACCCAGCCTTTCACCCAGAAGCAATGAAAAACAAACTATTCTTCTCAAGTGCACATGCAACATGTACCTCCACTTTCCAAAATGGCCACAGTCTGAGCCATGATATAAATCCCAAAAATATCGATGATATATCTATGTG